AGAAAATACTATGGATTAAATAATAAAGTAACAATAGAAAGAATAATAAAAAGAAACTTTCATTATGCATCTGACTGCGCCATCAGGATGAACTGACCGATCTAAATCTAAAGAAATCACCCTAAAAGATAGAAAAAATTAAAATAAATAATAAAAAAAGGGATTAGTAATCCTAATAAATGCAAATAAAAAGGATCAAATCATCACGCATCTGATTGCATTGCCATAACGAATTGACCAATCTGAATCTAAAGAAATCGCTCTAGAAGATAGAAAAAATTAAAATAAATAATAAAAAAGGGGATTAGTAATCCTAATAAATGCAAAAAAAAGATCGAATCGTCACACATCTGATTGTGCCACTGTGATGAATCAACTGATCTAATTCTAAAGAAATCGTCCTAGAAAATAGAAATAATTAAAATAAATAAATAAAAAAGGGGATTAGTAATCCCAATCAATGCAAAAAAATGGATCAAATTGTCATGCATCTGACTGCATCGCCGTGACGAACTGACCAATCTGAATCTAAAAAAATCATCCTGGAAGATAAAAAAATTAAAATAAATAATAATAAAAAGGGGATTAGTAATCCTAATCAATATAAAAAAAAGAATCAAATCATCACGCATCTGACTACACTACCGTGATAAGCTGAAGGCGTCCAAAGTGCCGCATCCAAAAGGACGGAATTGTTCTGTATTTTTTTTTTAATTAATTTATTTTTTTTATTGTCTCCCCTCCCCTTTTTTTAATTTCATTTTTATCTTTTCATTTTTATTTAATTTATTAATTTATTTATTTTTTTTTTAGTTTTTATACATACCATTTTTTTTATTCGTCCCATTCCACCCCGGTTTATCTGTTTTTTTTTAATTTTGTTTTTACATTTAATTTATTTTTTTTTATTTTTTATTTCGTTCATCTTATTCAACTTTTAATTTAGATTTTAGATTTCTTTTTTTATTCATCCCCCCTTTCTCCCCCTTTTTTTCCCCCCGTTTATTTTTTTTTTATTATTTTTAATTTCGTCTTTATTTGGGATTGGGATTGGGATTGGGATTGGGATTTGGGATTGGGATTGGGATTTGGGATTATTTTCGATTCCCATAGGTTATAACTCAATGGGCATTGGGTGTTGTCCCAAATCCCATAGGTATGGGTAACAAGTATACACCAGACGAAGCTATAGAAATCCTTATCACTAAATATAAACTATATAGTGATGAAGCCGCGGAGGTCTTATGCCACTCAAAACGAGTTCTAACCGATTTTCGCAGTAAATTCAATAAGATCGTGGTATCATTAGTGCAGGATTTTAAAAACAAATTTTCAAGAAATGGTTAACCATTGGCTCTGACAAGAACTAATATCGATGAATTTATAACTCAAGGCGTCGTCACTAAGAAAGCATTAAAAAGATATTTGACAGGTGTTAATATGGATAAGCTCAAGAGGTGTGGAACGATGGATAGGCTCGAAACATTTGTAAAAGAAGTGTTCAAGATATGTCACAATAACTACGATATTCAAGCTGTCAAGAAACTTGACTATCTCACGAACAGTTGTAAAGTTCCAAGTAGATCCGGCAAGAATATTGCATCAAATATTTTTCTTTAGAAAGATTATAAAAGTATAGTATCTTTATTCTGTAATGGTGTTTATGCTTTATTTATTCTGTGTGAAATATTAAAGTTTTAATTTTTTTTAGAGCGTTGAAATTTATTTTCAAATAAAGATATTTTGACCTAGCAAATTTTAATATAATAGGCAATTAAACAATGTGTTGTTTTCGAACAATAAGCTATTTCAAATAATGGGTTATAAATACCGCGTTTTTATTACGAAAATTTATATTTCCTAAACAATACGATTCTTATTATGCCGCAATTCTCAAATATTAAGGATGACTATGCAATTCTTCAAACAATAGGGATTATTGTTTTGCGATTATTCTATTATTTTAGCAGAAACATGTAATTCTATTACACAAAATATGTATTTAGACTCAGAATTATAATGGATTTCAGATACTATGATATCAGAAGAAATGGAAACAACGATATTTGGAAATGGAATTTTATTAAGACAATTTTTTCAATTTTAAATTTGCTTTAATTTCAAATTAATTATATAATCAAAGTTTTAAGATTATGAATTATAGCATTTTTTATCAATTTGAAAAATACATAAAAATAATGTTCTTAAAAAAAAGATTATTTATCGCATCTATATAGCCAATGTAAAGTATCGAGGTAGAAAATGGAAATTATACTTTTTATAAAACAATTAAATTCTTTAATAATTTCTGTATAACGACAATATTTATTATTTAAACTAAAATATTCTAAAATTAAAAACCTTTATCGTTTCTATATAGCCGATATAAAGTAATGAGGTAGTAAATTGAAGTTGGAAAAATAAAAACGCTACTACCATTCAACTATGTAGTCACGTGATAGTCACATGATAGCGGCATTAAAGTCGCGAAATGTAATAAAAAAAGTAGAAAATTTAAAAAAAAATAAAGAACGCGGGGTGGGGGAAAAAATGTTTCGAAGGGTGGGTGAAAGAATAAAAATTAATAATTTTTAAAAAAAACTATGAAAAACAAACGATAAAAAACGAAGAAAAAAAATAAAAAAATACCGGGGAAGGGGAATTTAAAAAAATAATCAAAAAAAATAATAAAAAAAATTAACGGGGGTGGGGGATATTTAAAAAAATTAAAAATAAAAATATAAAAAACAAAATTAAGGACGGAGGGGAAATTAAAAGTAAAAAGGCCGGGAGTGATTAAAAAAAAAAAAATTAAAAAAAAAGGCGGGGGAATTAAAAAAAAATATATATATATAAAAAAAATTTCGAAATTAAAAAAAATAATTATTAGATAAAAAAAAAATAAACAAACCGGAAAAAAAAGAAAAAAAGCAAATAAATTTACGATTTACCGTGACGAACTTTGAACGCGAATATCTCGACATCCACCGGTCCGGTTCCTACCATATTTAACATGATGATTCGATAAGTGCTGATCTTACAAACAAGCTCAAAATCATCCAAATCAAATCATCCAATCTAGAGATATTTGAGAATAACTGAAAGCAATTATTTTGTAGTTCATCACGGAAGAATATCAAGCAAGTGTGAATACCAGAACCAAAGCAAAAGAACTGACCGAAAAGTAATGATGCAGAACACTAATTTCACCATCTAGAAGCCTAATGGAGGTGATTAAACTGTATATTAATATCTAAGAAAATGAAATAGCTATGAGAGTTGATAAAAACAACAAAAAAACGATTTGCCGTGACAAACTTTGAACGTGAATATCTCAGCATATACCAGACTGAACCCTTTCAAACTTGATAAGCAGACTCGATAGATTCTGCTCCTTCTAACAAGATCAAATCCATCTAGATCCAATTACCCAATCCAGAGATATTTGGATAAAACTGAAAGCAATTATTTTGAAGTTCATCACGAAAGAATTTCAAGCAATTGTAACTACCGGAACTGAAGCAAAAGGAGCTGACCGAAATGTAATGATACTGAATACTAATTTCAGCATCTGGGAATCTAAAGGAGGTGAGAAAATTGTATGTTAATATGTAAGAAAATAGGGTCACCCATGAGTGTTCAAAATCAATAATTTAAATTGCAAATTCTTGAAATCCTTAAAATGAAGCAATCATGTGATCTAAAGTCCATAGAAATGCCAATTCAAGACAATCAGATTCAGCACTAAGAAACTTCAAAATAAGTTAATATTTATTAAATTGGATCACTGGAAGTTGAAATAGCTTTGAAAGTTGGTAAGATCTTGAGCTGATCTAAAATCAATTTTGGAGAAAGTTTATCTTAACATAATTTAAATATAATCTGTATTTAATACAATTCATCCTAATCCAATCTAAACCTTAATTAATAACAATTTAATTACAACCTAATTCAATTCAATTCAATCATATCTTTGAAATTGAAATTAACCATTCTAATCTAATTTTAACCCAAAACAACTCCAATTTCAATTCCAACCCAATCTAACTAAACCTAACTTATCTTAGACTTTTTTTATTGCGAAGCGATCCCGGGGCATCGCCCGGGTAGAATTGCTAGTTGCTAGTAATATATTACGCTATTATCTGTCCTTCGAAAAATGTCACGGCGTCTCCACGGACGGGTCATGAAACCGCTGACCACTGAAAGTAGAAAAAACAGTAAACAAAAATCACGACGCGATATAAAAACAAGCATATCGCCAAGATATTAATAAATCATTTTTTTTTAAAAAAACTATTATTTTAAAAAAATCTAAAAGAGAATAAATAAAAAGTAAAAAAAGTACGAAAAGTAATAAACTAAAGAAAAAATAAGAAATAAAAAGAAAACGAAAATAAAAAACAAAACTAAAACTAAAACTAAAACAGAAAAAAGAAAACAAAAAAAACCAAAAAGAAAAAACAAAAAAAACGAAACTAGTAAATTAGGAAAAGAAAAATACAAAAAAAGTATGAAAAAATAATACAAATAAAATTAAAAGAAGAATGAAATAAGAAAATAAATAAAAAATACAAAAAAAAAGAAAAATAAGAGAATAAAAAAAGAAAAATAAAAGAAAAAAAAAAACGAAAACGAAAATGAAAATTAAAAAATAAAAATAAACATAATATTAAATAATTTTAAAAAAAGGCTGAGGAGAATAAATAAAAAAAATTATAAAACAAACGAAAAAAACAAACTAAAAAAAAAGAAACTAAAAATAAATAAAAAAAAGCGAAAATACAACAAAAACGAAAAAAAATTCAATTAAAAAAAATAAAAAAAAAAGAAAAAGAATGAAATGGGAAAATAATAAATAAAAGAAAATAAAAAAGATTAAAAAAAAAATGCAGGAAGGTAACAAAAAATAAATATTAAAAATAATATATATAAAAATATATATTAAAAAATAAAGAACGCGGGGTGGGGAAAAAAAACAAAAAAATAATATTAAAAAAATAAATATATAAAAATGTTTCGTGGAAGAATAAAAAAACAATGATAAAAATGAAAAAGAATAAAAAATTAAAAAAAAAAAATATAATTAATAAAAATTAATAAAATAAAAAAAAAAACAATGATAAACGAAAAAGAATAAACAATTAAAAAAAAAAAAATAAAAAAAAATAAAAAATGCAAAGTATATTAAAAAAAAAAGAAAAAATCGGGGGAACTAAAGAAAAATATAAAAAAAAAAATAATAAGAAAACATAAAAAGGCCGGAAGGAGGAAATAAAAAAAACGATAGACTAAATAAAAAAAATAAAATAAAATAAAAATAATAAGACCGAAAAGAGATAAAAAAATATATTAAAAAATAACAAAAAAACAATATTAAAAGTAAAAAATATAAAAAGATCGGGATGGAATAAATTATATATTTTTTTAATTTCAAAGTTTCGATATGCTGTGATGAACTTTGAACGCGAATATCTCGACATTCACCATACCGAGACATGTCAAATTTGATATGTAGATTCGGTAGGTTCTGATCATTCAAACAAGACCATAACATCCCGATCCAATCATCTGATCTATAGTTATTTGAGAAATACTGAAAGCAATTATTTTGAGATTCATCACGTAAGAATCTCAAGCAGATGTGAATACCAGAACCGAAGCAAAAGGAAAGTTCGAAAAGTAATGATGCAGAACACTAAATTTTACCATCTGGGAACTAAAGGAAGTGAGAAAACTGTATATTAATATGTAAGAAAATGAAATAGCTTTGAGAGTTGGTAAAAAAAATAAAAAACGAATTGCCGTGATGACCCAATTATAATTCAAATTTAACCTGATTCTAACCCAAATCAACTCCAATTTTAACTCTAACCCAATTAATCCAAACCTATCATATCATAGAAATTGTTAAAACTTTACCTTTTTTTGTCACAAAGTGACCCCAAGGCATCGTCCGGGTAGAATTGCTAGTCACCTATAATATATTATGCTATTGTCCTTTGAAAATATTATGCCGCCTCCTCAGACGGGTTGTGAAACTGCTGATTGCCAAAAGTAGAAATACAATAAACAAAAATTGCAACGTGATATAAAAAACAAGCATATCGCCAGCATAGTGGAATTCTTTTTAAAAGATTATGAGTTTTAATGATCTTTTTATATTATTCTATTATAAAATAGAGGACAAGGAATAAAGGTTATTTAAATATTTTTTTTAAAAAAAGATTTGGTCTGTCGCGGCGGCACAGTCAGATGTATAATGAAATTGTTTTTATTG